AGAATGACAGAGTACATCCATATTTATTGAAGCACTTGTTTAAATCAAGGTACATAATAGAAACATGTTTGTAGCATTGATATTTCGTTAAACAAACTACTATTTTAATGTTTTCCTTGATACATTATCTATGAATCCAAAACAAGAGCATGAGTGGGATTCAAAACAAAGTATGACTGAAACTCGAAGTTACCAATAGACAGAAATATGTCATCAAATCTCGGTTAAGACAGATTTCCTTGGCATTAGCATGCATAATCAGGGGTTGAAATAACTTTAAAATTGCTAGTGTACTCCGGTACAGTGGCACATGTAATATCACTTGACCTGATGATTTTCCTCTATACCGGCCGTTTTCTTGTTGATTTTTTAAATAAACAACATAATTAACATTGGAAAGTCAACTGGACACCGGTACAGTGTGATATACAAATTTGCTTGCTCAACAGAAAAACACACTGGACTCGGACGTCGGGCAATGGGTTATTTCCACCCCTGGGCATATATGATACGAGTACTTACGTACTTACACAGTCTAGGAGTTAAGATCAGAGTTTTTTGGAAATGAAAAAGTCATCAGTTGCACATTGCATATATTTTACTCCTTCTACTGACAACAAACGCGTGTCCACTATATTTTCAGTACTGAACGTCATGTAAAAAGTGTAATATTTCTACTTTTGCTCTACAGAAAAACATAAAAGCCACAAGAAATTGTTGCAATAATGTTGAAACTTTGCGATGGAAAATAAATATATCAAATGTTATGGTACGTGAATTACCATTGTTTTTATTTCATCAGTTCTTAATGTCCAACGCCCAGGAAAATGTATGAAATACAAATGTCACCTGCCTTTGTGAGTAGAATATCAGCAAGTTCCCTCCCAAAGAACTCAGGGTTAATTTCCTCACATCAACAAAAACTGAGGTTGTTAAGCAAGAGTAACATGCCTACAAATATGAATATTCCAGGAACCTCACGGCGGGGGACAACCAAAATAGGCTTACACAGTCTTAATGTAAGGAATCTGCGTCTCGCTGAACGAAAGTTGGAAACATTCTCGACTTTGAACAACCATGTGTCCGCATTCACCAATACAGTTTCAATTCGGGACCAATATATAATTATCAATTGTACTATTGGTAAAAACCTGGACTTTTTCTACGTGTTTTCTTGCAGCTAAAGATACAGATAAACCCAATTTTCCCGGTGATGTTGTGTGATGGCTATCTTGTGTCTGCTAAAACGAACAACAATTTATTTCGTCACCAAAAAATAGTAAAATATTTCTCAATACCACTTCTCTGTATAATGTACTGACTATGTGGAAGACGCCTTTTCGGGCGTTTATCACGAAAATGATACTTTTTGTAGAGAAAGGTTTTGAGATGATGCTTAAAGTTTTCAAGGGATGGAGACAGCTTAAGTTCATCAGGGAGGAGGGAATTCAAATTGACCAATGCAATGTTCTAGTAAGACTTGCAGCCAAATGATGGTAATGACGTTTATGGAAACGTCTGGGAGAGCATTTTAAATACAACATGTCTAAGATTAAAAGGATTATAATACTTACATAGAGAATGAACTTATAAGGATATTAACGAAAGATAAAATGAACCCTGTCAGCAAGAACGGGACATATTGACGATTTGTTGTCTGCATCCCTGGAAGTTTCCCCCTGATAAATACACACACGATACATTGGGATTTAACGATATTCAATCAGATACTCGGGGTATATTTGACCTTCGCTGAAAATCACATAGATTCTCGGGTCTGTTTCCTTATCACATGCTGAGTCAGCAAGTTTAGTTTTGTTGCTGGCATCCAACACTGGGGGACGTTTCAACTCTGGGTTCCCTTGCCTCGACTTCCCCACCAAAACTTTAGCCAAGAACATGAACCTGTGACGCCTGGCGTCTTCTTTAGCATAGCCATCCGAGTACTTGGCATCCACAGCAAAGTACGCGCCTTGGCCATAGAGGGCGCCCACTCTACTTCCGGCTAACCGGAAGTCGATGTTTTGGTGCGGGATGAGATCAGCCGAGTCTGGTGTGGTTCCGTGAAAGAGTTGCTTTTCGTTGGCAAGACCCCGACCGTATTCACGTTCCATGTTGACCTTTGCGCTGAAAACAACAACAAAGATTATAAAGCCCAAAGGTGTCGTCCTATTTTGGAGAATATGTGTGTGTTTGTTTGCCTGTCTGTCTGTGTGCACGCGCGAGTTCGTATGTGTGTGTTCGTGTGTGTGTGTGTGTGCGTGTGTCATGAGAATATTGTGTTAACAATACATTGATACCATGTGCCTCCACACGAAAACATTCTGACGTTCATATGTCAGTGCGCAAATGTTTTAACAACTGGAAGAAATGTGATTATTACGTTATTCCTTCACGTTGTAACATTCATACGTCAGATACCATGTAGTAGTAGTATTAGCTACATAATCACCATGATCTTCAGGAACATATTGGATACATTAATAGCCATGATCTTCAGGAATATTTTGGATACATTAATCACCATTATCTTTAGGAACATTTTGGATACATGAATCATCATGATCTTCAGGAATATTTTGGATACATTAATAACCATGATCTTCAGAATATTTTTGATACATTAATAACCATGATCTTAAGGAACATTTTTGATACATTAATAACCATGATCTTCAGGAATATTTTGGATACATTAATCACCATGATCTTCAGGAATATTTTGGGCACATTAATAACCATGAACTTCAGGAACATTTTGGATACATTAATAACCATAATCTTAGGAAACATTTTGGATACATTAATAACCATAATCTTAAGAAACATTTTGGATACATTAATCACCATGATCTTCAGGAATATTTTGGGCACATTAATCATCATGATCTTCAAGATCATTTTGGATACATTAATCACCATGATGTTCAGGAATATTTTGGGCACATTAATAAACATGATCTTCAGGAACATTTTGGATACATTAATAACCATGATCTTCCAGAACATTTTGGATTCATTAATCACCATGATCTTCAGGAACATTCTGGATACATTAATCATCATGATCTTCAGGAACATTTTGGATACATTAATAACAATGATCTTCAGGAACATTTTGGATACATTAATCACCATGATCTTCAGGAACATTTTGGATACATTAATCATCATGATTTTCAGGAACATTTGGGCACATTAATAACCACGATCTGCAGGAAAATTTTGGCTACATTAATCAAAATGATATTCAGGAACATTTTGGGTACATTAATTACCACGATCTTCAGGAACATTTTGGATACATTAATCACCATGATCTTCAGGAACCTTTTGGATACATTAATCGTCATGATCTTCAGGAACATTTAGGATACATTAATCACCATGATCTTCAGGAACATTTTGGGCACATTAATCACCATGATCTTCAGGGAATTTTGGGCACATTTTGGAATATTTTGGATGCATTAATCATCATGATCTTCAGGAATATTGTGGGCACATTAATAACCATGATCTTCAGGAACATTTTGGACACATTAATAACCATGTATTTTAGGAACATTTGGACGCATTCATAACCATCATCTCCAGGAACATTTTGGATATATTATCACCATGATCTTTAGAAACCCTTTGGATAAATTAATGATGCTGACCTTCGAAAAGACTTTGATGAATTAGTCATAAGATTTTCGGAAACACTTGAATACAAAATTCATCATGATATTTTTGATATTTTTTTATTCTATGATCACAAATCGTTTGTGTTATAGATCTGAAACATGGGGATTCACGTCCTGCAGTTTTATTGAGACTGTGTGCATTGAATTCTGCATGTCTTTTCTCAAAGTGAATACAAAACAAATAACAACATGGCTCTGGAATAGTCTCCCTGCAGTACCACTATATCTCCAAAACATTCAAGTTCTCGCGCAAACGTATTCAACTGTAACAGTATAGAGTTCCTCGCCAAGTTTTCATGATCGTCCCATATACACTGCCCGTTACATTCATCGTATATACTTACACAGTATACTGTTCCCACAGTGCCACATTCTGGATACGGTAGATGGACACGATGCTCTTATTGGAGAGTGTCTCTTCCACCTTTGACTCAACATGTCTGTATTCAAAGGCCGTCACCGGGTTGGACTCACTCAGCTCCACCTGCTTGAACCCATCCTGTCCCATGGTTTCCCAGTGTGCTGGTAGACGCTTTGATTGGCTCATTGACGAGGTCAAAGGTCGTTTTGCAATTCTGAAAATCAACATGCACAGTATCAAACATATTGTTATGTAAATCTAACAGATACAGTAGTGTTGATATTAAGTCTTATCGTAATGAATACGTGGTACCTTTTACATTTTATTTGAAATGGGAATTCATTTTAGGAATGGCAACACTGAACTTCAAATTGTTCACTGCTTGAGTATTCTGAAGAACAATCTAACGTGGTTTCAGAAAAAGTATCCCATTTGAGAACAAACTGAAACGTTTTGAAGATTTAACAATATTAAAAATGGAACAGAAACTGTGTGTCTCATTAATAACTACACATATACCTTTAATGAAAAGTGAAATGGCATAAGAAATTATGCATATGTCAATATGGCTGCCGCAGATTCGCTGTTTCTTACTTGTCAGTAACATATGTATTTCTGTTGCTCTGTCGTTTTCTGTTAAAGGATATAGTTGACTGATCTAACTGATTTGTCCTACCTCTCTAACATTACTCGCACTTCCTTGTTCTTCACGAAATCAAGAGGTGTCTTCCCTGATTTGTTCGCCAATCTGATGCCCCTCCTCGTTCTACAAGATGACAGAGGATCTCCAGGGCCATATCCTCATTTCTTGGACCTTCCTGTAGACAGTGAAGACAGTTTTATCTAAAACGTTCAACACTGACTAAATTATGTCTATAGATAGTGCAGACAGCTCACAAATAAATGTTTGACGTAATTTAACTCATCCTCTATACAGGAAAGACTTACTGCTCAGGAAGCGTGATGTCCATCTGGGCGGCGTGTAGAGGAGAATTTCCATCTTTGTCCTGTACGTTGATCTCAGCCTCTGCAGATCAGTAAATGTTGTATAAATTTGTAAACTATGCTCATCATATTCCGGGAGCAGTTGGGCATTCTGTATTTACAGACTTGTATATGATTCTGCATCTAAGATAATATTTATTATACCCTTTACTTTCCAGGAGCAGCTGGACATTCTGTATTTACAGACTTGTATATGATACTGCATCTAAGATAATATTTATTATACTCTATACCTTCCAGGGGCAGCTGGACATTCTGTATTTACAGACGTGTATATGATACTGCATCTAAGATAATATTTATTATACTCTTGACCTCCCAGGAGCAGCTGGACATTCTGCAATTTACAGACTTGTATATGATACTGCATCTAAGATAATATTTATTATACCCTATACCTTCCAGGAGCAGCTGGACATTCTGCAATTTACAGACTTGTATATGACACTGCATCTAAGATAATATTTATTATACTCCATACCTTCCAGGAGCAGCTGGACATTCTGCAATTTACAGACTTGTATATGATACTGCATCTAAGATAATATTTATTATACTCTATACCTTCCAGGAGCAGCTGGACATTCTGCAATTTACAGACTTGTATATGATACTGCATCTAAGATAATATTTATTATACTCCATACCTTCCAGGAGCAGCTGGACATTCTGCAATTTACAGACTTGTATATGACACTGCATCTAAGATAATATTTATTATACCCTATACCTTCCAGGAGCAGCTGGACATTCTGTATTTACAGACTTGTATATGATACTGCATCTAAGATAATATTTATTATACCCTTTACCTTCCAGGAGTAGCTGGACATTCTGCAATTTACAGACTTGTATATGACACTGCATCTAAGATGATATTTATTATACTCTATACCTTCCAGGAGCAGCTGGACATTCTTCAATTTACAGACTTGTATATGACACTGAATCTAAGATAATATGTATTATACTCTATACCTTCCAGGAGCAGCTGGACATTCTGCAATTTACAGACTTGTATATGACACTGCATCTAAGATAATATTTATTATACTCTATACCTTCCAGGAGCAGCTGGACATTCTGCAATTTACAGACTTGTATATGATACTGCATCTAAGCTATACTCTACACATTTCCAGGACCAGTTGGACATTCTGCAATTTAGAGACTTATATGGCATACTACCTGCATGCGATTCTTAACAGATTCCTTGAACAATTTTGAATTCTGCAGATTACAGACTTGTATAACACACTGTATGTTCACATGTAAGCTTCACTCCACCGGATTCAAGGAGCAGTTGTACAATCTGAAGATTACATCTTTGCACAGCCATATGAAGAGCTGTCTTGCCGTTGTCGTCCCGAGCATTGACGTTGCAGCCAGCCTACACATTATGTTAAAAACTTAACACCGACACAGCTGGTCATCTTTTAGAACTTATAGAACTTACGAATAAATGCCGTATTACTAGAAACAGACAGGTATCTCTCATTGCCGCGGACTTTTGGAAAAGGGTAGAAGAAGTTTTAGTCTTTTTAGTGTTTAGATTCACCTTACCTTCACCAGGACACCTGCCAGGGCCGAAAGCTCCGGAAGGCTGCGATGTGTATCGGGGTGAGGGCGTTGTTCATTGGGACGTTGACAATCTTCGGATCTTTCTTTATCAGTTCTTGTGGAAATCTGTAAGACAAAGAATGCTTAGTAATTATACTAGGCGGGATGTCTTTGCATGGATTACGACTAACGTAGACAGTTTACCAGTTAAACGTACTCTTTAACAACACAAAACATGACTGTTATTTCCAAAGATAAAGGTCGTGTTGGGTCGGTGTACCCAGGGTTAGGTGCCCAAACCATTTCAACACCAGTTTCAATTATTGAATTATCTATCATATGGTACCAGCAAAAACATGTTTCTACTCATCTTCAAAGATTCGAAAATCAGTTCAAAAGTAAAATTTTATTCATTCAATGTTCTGTCAATCGATATTACACAAAACTCGCTTCGGCATCATTCTCAACGATTCAGTGATCTGTCAATGAAGGTGAGTGAGTGAGTGAGTGAGCTTAGTTTTACGCCGCACTCAGCAATATTCCAGCTATATGACGGCCGTCTGTAAATTGGGATCTGGACCAGACAATCCAGTGATCAATAACATGAACATCGATCTACGTAACTGGGGTACGATGGAATGTGTCAACCAAGTCAGCGAGCCTGACCACCCGATCTTCTTACGACAAGCATGGGTTATTGAAGATCAGTTCTAACCCGGATCTTCACGGGTGTCAGTGAAGTTAGTTTCAGTCGGTTAACTCACTCTGTTGCCCCAGAGAGCGACACACACGCTTCATGGAAAGGGTTGCAGCCTTCAGAGTTGGTGAGACTCAGATTCAGCTGGGCACACTCCAGGAAGGGATCAAGTAGATGCTGGTTATGGGCTCTGAGTGCATCGTGAAGGGCGTATCTCCTCCTCATCCTACAGAATACACATAATTGTGAATTTTATTTTTGTTATCAAATTATTTTGTGTATTGGCTAAAACTCACAGCCTAAACTATTACAAAGCTGCGCCTACCTGTGTGTTAGGATCACACTTGTAACGTATGAGTGTCTTCAGACACCGGGTGCTGGGGTCCTTCTTGGCCACTGCCAGATGTAATGAGTGTCAGTCCCTTGTTGTTCTTCGTGTTGCCCCGTGCCTTGGCGTCCAGTAGTATCCCTACCACAGTGGGTTGCTCTCTGTCAACATGGCAATGAATGAATGAATGAATGAATGAATGAATGAATGAATGAATGAATGAATGAATGAATGAATGAATGAATGAATGAATGAATGAATGAATGAATGAATGAATGAATGAATGAATGAATGAATGAATGAATGAATTTTTTCCAGATAGATTTTCCTCCGAAAATCCTCAAAACCCTGTTTATGTAATTATATTATTAACAGGGATATTCAACGAACAGACAGACAGACACACACACACACACACACACACACATATATATATATATAGAGAGAGAGAGAGAGAGAATATGGATACAGTTTCACCATATATGCAGGCTCCTAACAGTGATATATTGGCAAAATTATTACCACATGTTATTGAGGGATATCTTTTAGTTTATACAGATACTTTGAGAATTCTATAATAGTAAAATGCCATGCTATTTCATCAATATCGCCATCGGCCCAAAGAAAATATGCTAGCATGTCATGCTGTTCCATCATCTCTATACAGACATACAATTCAACATCAATATCATCGATTAGAGTTGAAAAGAATGCATCTCTCTTTGAAAGTAGATATCCATAGTTTAGGATGACATGGTGATAGTAACCATTAGCAAAGGTATTACATTTTGTACATTCTTTTGATATTTTTTTCCTGATACAATCCTTATGTTACATTTTGCAATTCTTCTGACATATTACTTCCGTCGTGCTGTCTCTCTATCACATAAACAAGAGTGTTGATATTCAAACTTCGACATATTGAGGACAACGGTCATGAGCGTGTCTCAAGTAAAAAACGTGACGAGTAATTTTGGGGTGACAATTCTAAGCGTCATCTTTGCAACACTCTTAGTGAGGGAATGAGTGAATATGGTATCACGATGCTTTTATAAATATTCGTGCAAATTCGGCGTGGGTCACCATAAATGATTGACTTCACACATTGTACCCATGTGGGGAATCGAACCCGGGTCTTCGGCGTGATGAGCGAACGCTTTAACCACTAGGCCACCCCACCGCCCCTACTTACCCTGACACGGCATAGTGCAGAGGTGTGTCTCCGTCATCGTCAGCCTTGTTCAGATCAGCTTTAGCACCGATCAGAAGCTTGACTATGTCAGCATGACCTTTGAAACACCCCGTCTGCAATGCCGTCAGGCCATCCACTGATTCGTTCACCTGATTGAATTAAAAAATAAAATATTTGATAGCTTCATATTGAACACCTGCTAATAGGATTAAAGTATCTACATTACGCCAGTGAATGTATGTAAAGTGTGAATTGTTTTCAATGTCCTGTCAAGAACGTAGACGTGATACCGTGAGTGAGTGAGTTTACTTTACGCCGCACTCAGCAATTCCAGCAACATGGCAGCATCTGTAAATAATCGAGTTTGGACCAGACAACCAAGTGATCAACATCATGAGCATCGATCTACACAATTGGGATACGACATTTGTCAACTAAGTCAGCGAGCCTGACCACAATTAAAAAACCACGTTTAACCCAATTTTGTCTCACCTCACTTGGTAATCATACAAATGTGCCATACATCCAAATATGGCAGTATTTGACTGCATTTAAACAATGGACGGTTGTCACAAATGTGGAGGCTGTAACACGAGTTTGTTTTGGGATGGCAAATAGGATGTATTGGGCATCGGACTAAACATGTGGCATTTAAGGAGTCTTGACGACATAGATATACAGTGTTTGTTTCTAAAAGATATTTTCCATCCCAAACACATGCTAGGTCTTCCAGTGGTATTGTTAAAATATGTGAGTGCCCTGACCTGCTCTGAACCATGTACAGCTATTACATGCCATCCAATGGCCCTGGTAGTACACATGTCAAGAATCATGATCGGGACGAACCCGACATTTAAACCCACAATCAGCAGATCCTGTTAATGTACTGGCAGTAACTTCTTCTTATTATGTCGTAAGAACCTGAATGAACAATGTTAATCTCATTACGCCGGCACAGGTACCTTGTCACCAATAGACTTGACAATGTTTTTCACTGTTTCCGTGTCGCCGTTGCTGACAGCGATGACGAGGTCTCGGGCTGTTACGGTGCTGCTGGATGACGCGTTGGGCTTGAACATAGCACTCTCTCCAGGCTTCAGAAGGCCGAACAGAACCTTAGCCACACCTTCGGCTATGTCTGAGAAGGAAGAATGCACTGACAGAGCTTTTTAAGGCTTCTTTGAAAACGAGGTACGTTATTGTGTGAAGGTTAAGCGGTTACCATTTAGATTTAATCCACCATATCAGATGAGCCGCTAACTAACGAACGATCGACTCTTTCCAGCGGATCCTGCTTTCACCAAGAAATGCAATTGTTGCCTTAGATCTGTTAGCTACGTGTATCTGAGTTCCCGAAATTGTAAATAGTATGCATGAAAAGAATTTTAATATATGTTCCAATCAAAGGTATATATGGCTTTTATTCCTTTTCGTACTAATATTTTTCATACCCTAAATTATTGTAACATTATTAATTATTATTATTAATCTTAGATTATGTTAAATGCTTCTATTTGTCAACCGGTATCAGGGTAGAGGCACAACGTTGTTGGATTTCCTTTTGGCCAGTGATATCTACTTTGACCAAGTAGTTCCTATTAGTTATTCACAATGTTTGTTGTTTAAATATTTTATTGTTTTGGTGATGCAGAGTTATATGTACCGTCGACATCAGATGTCGAGGAGTCTGAGCTGGTGCTTTTATGAGACCCTGACGAGGCCTCCTTGTCCTGAGGATCACAGCTGACCGGGCTGAAGAACCACTTGACTGGCCCAAAGGCCACCCTCAGGTCCCCGTCCTTGTCGATCTCAACCACCTGGCCGGTCTTTCCTAAACACTGTGAAGAAGGATTGCAACATTGATGCCAACGGCAATGAATGCTTTATTGATATAAAGGAATTGCTGGAAGTTATAGACGTCGTGAGAAACAAATACAGAAGTTGTTATCCATTGCATTTGTCTTGTATGACTACACAAACTTCTAAACACCTTTGAAGAAATTCATGTTACTTACAATGTATTATTATTATTCTCCTGTTGTGAATTTAGAAACGGAAAGTGTCGAACACTCGGATGGACCGAACTTTTCTCAGGTCCGTTTCGGCAACGATGATAAAGCGTGGACCTGTGGACCTTTATGAGATAGTAAGGAAATACTGATAACACGAACAATTACAATAACGTGCTACTATGACAATAATCCCACAATTCGTTGGGATTTACTGTTGTATCCCTCTACATGGTGGTGTGTGGTCCTGTGCATAGCGCTCAGGTCACAAATCAGTTGAAGTTAAGCAGTTGGGCACGGAGAGTCATTGGATGGGTGACTGTGTTTGGCAGCTTGACTCCTGAGAGCTTTTAGGACTTCATTCCTGTCCCACAACGAAGCACATGTGATACCTTAGGCAAGTGAGTTTGTTCAAAATTGCCTCTGTTCACCCAGTAGAAAATGGCTACCTGGTGAAATAAGTCGTGTGAGACTATTAACCTTCTAGCGCCTAACAGGCAGCTTGGGTTATCCGGGGTAATGATGATCAGATTGTACGCTTTGAGCAGGATATCTAGCCTGGAAAAGACGCATTATACATCATTATTATTATTACATACATTTTCCATTTTGTCATTCCATCCGCCATGTCCGTTCTGGAGATCCACGGCAGCGTTGTAGTTGTTGGTAATCTTCACAACGTCCCCGACAGCAAACGTGTGAAGCTGCAACAATCAGATCGACCAAGATTTCATCACAACTTCACCTACGAGGATGAATGAATGTGTGTTCCAACGTGTAGCAGATAACAATTTGGAGCGTACAATATGGGTACATATTTGTTGGATATTAAAGGTTTCGGTCAGTAGACCCTTTATGGATGAAGAACGCGCTCCATTATGTCTCCACAGATTATACCTACTAAACTAAACCAGAACAATGTCGTTTGCTTTTGGTTTATTAAGCACTGAATTCATAGAAACAGACCGGTTTAAACCGTTATATTTAACAGCATATCTGGACTGATGTTGCCCAAAGACTACCTACCCTTGTAAGAGTCGACTTCACCAGACCATACTTCTCAGCATCCGGGTACTGTGCCATAATGACGCGTTCGTCATGAGATGGAAGACCGGTGACAGTACCAACCTCCACCAAACACTGGAAATAGAAAACGTTCTTAATTACTTGGGAAACTTGGTTTTCCTAGAACTTAACGTCAGTTTGAAAAAAGAAAGTGTCACAGAATGACGTCGTTGTAGATCATCACATACAAACACAGAAGACTTCATCACCATCTCATTGATCGCAGATGCACTTACCACGTCACATGGGCATTGGGTGGCCTGGTAGTTGAAGCGCTCGCTCGTCACGCCAAAGTCCCGGGTTCGATTCCCCAAATAGGTACGATGTGTGAAGCCCATTTCTGATGTCCTCAGCCGTGACATTGCTGGAATATTGCTAAAAGCGGCGTAAAACCATACTCACTCACTTGCGACGTCACACCCATCATCTATGACCTCAACGGATGACGAGTTATTAGTGAATATATCAATGTTGAAATCAGCATGATGGAGAAGACTGGTACGTACCTGTGCCATGCTGTCACGATAACCAGTCATGTCCTTGTGCGTGCGTTCAAATATATCTGCGTCAACCTCTACTTTCACTTTGTCCCCAACTTTCAGGCGAACG